CGAAATCCGCCACCTCTCTCCCACACGACACACATGGCGAAGCGGCTGCTTCAGCAAAAACGCTTCAGCTTTAAAATCTGGAATACCTATCTAGATACGCCACCGCCTCGGCGGTTTATTGCAACAGCGCGTGGAAAAATGAAAAATGGAAGTTCAAGCTTTTCCAAGGGTGCCGAAAAAATGGTATTGCACACCTTTATACCCTTTTCGAATTTGGGAGAATTGTTTTGCGGGGGAGGGTACGAAGTCACCCCCGCCCTCCCCCGAAACGTCGCAGTAAATTCTATATTAATCCGTGGTATTGTTTCAAAACCCTACCATATTAATTCATATATATGAAGGGGCACCGTGTCCTGTAAGGAGGGGGGGGGCATCTACGTGCCCCCTATAGCCATGTACGCGCGTTCGCGCTCGTCTGTGCGCTGTACGGGGTGCCGCGCCTTCATATAGAGGACGAGAGGGAGAGTCTGGCCAGAGCACCCTTAGGGGGCGGTCGCAGACCATTGTGTAGCAAGACTATAGCCAATTATTTTTCCGTCGTGCAAAAGAAGTAGAATAGGAGTTCAGTGAAGATTGGGAGACGGCGGTGAGGAAGAGGGAGGGATGGGGCTGCGGGGGAGAAGGCAAGGGGAAGGGGGTGCAGGGCAGGAGGAGGGCAGGAGAAGCAAGAGGGACTGGACGTACGATCGAAAGGGCACCCAGAAACGGTGGTTTGGTTGGCATATTTTTTCGTGGGAGAGAGGATGTAGGAATGTGGTAGGCGGAACGTAGGAGGAACGAACCGTAGGCTATAGAATGCAACACTCTCATCTCAGCTAGCTGCGAGCTCCGCCTAGATGACATATATTCCGTGGTTTCCGTCGAGCATTGGGGTTCTGCGTTCACACGCACGCAGAGGCGTGGTGTCACTTCGGGCAATAATTTCACTGAAAACTGAATGGAGGGTGGATGTTGTGTGGGTGAGTTGGATGATTGTCGTGTGGTTTCTCCAACAACAATACGTTTTTAGCGCAGACTGTGCTTCATCTGTGTACAACAGGTTAAATGGGTTTGACTTGTGCACAATTGAAGGCGTACCTATGATGAAGAAAGCAACACAAACACATAGGAATAACATGAAAATAATACCGTAAATTAGGCCCGCCCGGGGGGTCCCTAGTCCCTAGCTAGATGTGCAGAGCAACGTTTTCGGGCACCCTTGGCTTCCCTCTTTGTTAGGCTGTTGCAAATCTCTTATGACCACGACGTCGATTCACAAGCGGGGTTCTGCAGAAGCCCGCTTGGCAATGTTGCTAAACGTCAGTACCTACAAACCTCATCGTCCATCATCTGCCCATACATTTACAAATGGGCGTACAGCAGTGAGTTGAAATATCTTGTGCGCACACCCTTGCTTCAGCACCTGCTAGACTGTTTGGCTGAAATGTAGATAGTTGGACTTTGACCGTGGTTTGAGAAGGGTGTGGGTGAAGATGGATAGCGCGATACGGGTGGAACCCCACCCCAACCGCTGGTCTTTCCAACAAGAAAACGGATTGCTTCGTGCCCAAGGTTTATGGCTCTTGCCAACCGATCTCGATTTCACTGATTTCGAAAGCGACCGAGGAAACACCCAGCAATCACACACAAGACACGTTAGACCAGTGCGCAAGTGTTGCGCACCAGAACATCCGTGAGTTGCCAACCAGGCCAGCGGACACCACGTAGTCTACCTCCACACACCTTCCTTCTCAGCCAGGACAACATATTCCACAACTCGACATTCAAGACAAATCAGGCGACACTGCGGGTGCTCGCATCTACAATTGCGGTGCGGAGTTCCCATCGTAGCGGGTATTCCAGTAGAGGACATCATGGGTCAGCGGCACGCGGTTTGCAACGCCCAGATCTGTTGCTGGAGCCATGCTATCGAAGGCTGTGTCTGCGATCCAAAATGACCGCGAAATCTGGGTGCATAACATGTTTGTGTGTGTACTCGGCAGGATACAATTCTCCGAGATCTCCGAGGGGGTTACGCAGATGAGATAGATATGGGTATGATAGGCAGACTTGGTGCAGCAGGCTTTGCCTCTTCTTGCTCACGTCTGTCACTCGTTAAACTCTCTCTAATAATCAAGGAACTTGAGTCACTCCTTTGTGCAACACGCTCTCGACAAGAGCCCGCGAGCGTGATAACATAGTACACACGCCGACACCCCAAATACGATATCGTGGAGTCAGCTGACGTCGGTAGGGAAAGGTTCGGGAGGTAGGCACCGGAATACGAGGACAGCAGCAGGGCGGTTTTTGCTCGCGCTCGTTAAGGAGATCCAGGGAACAGGGTTTGGAATACAAGGGCAGCAGCAGCAGGGCGGTTTTTGACTGAGCGTGCCAAGGAGATCCAGGGAAAGCATTTGGAACACAAGGACAGCAGCAGCCGGGCGGTTATTGCCAGCGCGCGTCAAGGAGATCCAGCTACAAAACAATACAGCAGTAGGCAAGAGACACATTGTGCCGCGTTTTTTTGTTTTTTTTTTGCGGCGTAATTTGGCGGAGGAAGAGAAGAGATGACGAGGGAGAAGGACATGACGGAGAGGGAATATGGGTATCTATCGGAGAAGAATGATGCACCGGCAAGAGTAATGGCTGCCGGGAGAACGTCTACCTGGGCAGCTGGTGGAGCTGGTCTCGGTACACAACGGGTGAGAATGATGAATGACGGAAATTGTGCGTTGAGCGGTTACAGCAGCTGTCGCATACCGCCCAAAATCCCGAAAGATTCGGCGAAGGCCGTGAACTGGCTGCGGAGATTGCGGATTTTCCTGGCTAGCGAGGGTTTGGAGCAGACGTTTGAAGACACCTATCCCACTGGCTATGTTCCTGTCATCAGCTGTTTGGATTGCATATATCTGAACCGGGTTCATGGTGCGGCACTCGTTACGGCACACAAGCGGGCGTGGGGATATCTGTTGGAAGCAACCTGCGGCACGGACATTGAGGAACGGTTAGCTGCTTGCGACTGTGTCCCTGAGGCGTGGAGGGTGATCCGCGAATGGGTTTTGCCTACTTTTGACGCCGAGAAGGCATTGCTTGTGCGACGGTTGGAGGCAGTTGAGATGTCCCCTGGCGAGAACCCGAAGCTTTTCTTTGCCAGAGTGGATGGCATCGTCAACATCATGCGAGCTGTCAGCATTGAAAAATCCGAGCGGGAAATCGTCCACATCATTGTTCGCCAGCTTTCGCCCGAGTACGATGTCGAACGCATGTCTATCCTGGCCGACCCCACCATTCCCCGAGCGAAAGTGGAAAAAGTTGTTCGCACGGCATACGCTAACAACGTC